TTTCAAATTTGCAATGCATCTAAACATGTCCGTCTGCCCGTCTGTCTGTCTGGGCAACTGTGTAGTATTATATTTGTGGTAAATATTTGCTCGCTAGCGAAAATGAAGACATAACTTACAAGTTTGCAAAAGAATTTGGAAATGAACTAAACTTTTCAAAGACCCGCCTATGCGACAGAAAGTTTAATTTTGAATATATATATTTACCCGTGCCCACTCCATATAATAGAGCATAGGAACGTGCTTTTTGTAATGGTTTTAGTTTATTCAATCTTCTATTCAGTGCACTTGGATAAAGAAGAAATAGCTTTATCTATGACATTGAAAGAAGACCTTAACATTAAAACAAGATACCTGTAGAAAATTTCATTGCCTTACTTTATTGTTTGCGTAGTGTGAAAAATGCGAAAAGTTATTTAATTTTTATGCAAAGCAGTTGTGGGCTGCAACACTTCATCGTGATTCGCAGTAAAAGATTTTAATATGCTTAATCGAAATACTGGCATCCGTAGGGTAGTCCAACGACAAACGAATAGACTAACATGCCTGAATCGGCGCGTAATTTGGCGCTCTGTAGATATATATATTTTTGTGTATATGTATTATATGTTATAAATAGAATACAAGCAAGTATTGAAATTCTATTGTTTTATGAAAGCGTGTAAAGAGACATTTCTCTTAGTACGATTTCTAAGCTAAGCTTTTGTAATAAATTCCTTAACATCTACACAGATCGGTTTTTAAGAGACGGCATTGCCTTATTTGCTATCATGAGCGAAATTGTAATTTCTCCATGTTGAATATGGCTTGACCTGTTCGCTTTCTAACGGCTGGTATAAGTTGGACCCGATTCAATATCGGATATGCAAAAAATCATTGGCATGCCCATTTAGAGCGATTATTGAAACGAAACTATGATAAAAGCGAACAAACAGAACCTTGCAGATAAATGAAGCTGAACTAGAATGGGCTCGATTTACGAGATGCTCCGTCCATGCGGCAATAGCCGCAAATGACCAGTTGTTCTTTCGACAACGGAATTCGTATTCTCTTTGCTAAACAAAATATTTTGAATGAGATAGATTCTGCCGTTCTACTCAGATAAACGCTTTTATTTTTCCATCTGGCATCGTGTATAACGTAATAAATATTTTATTTTATTTGTTTGTTTTTAATCGAATATATATATAATCGATATAAGCGAAATCCTAATTTCAAAAAATGTGAACATATTAGTTTCGTAATATGGTCTTGAAAAATAAATGCAACTATTACGTGAGGATCTCTTAGTAGCCCCTCGTTGTCGTCATATTATAATGAGCAATATACAAAGGTTGGACGTCATTGCCTCTTTTCCTTTCTTTACTGCTTCCAGTGAACAGCAGAAGTTCACTTTTATTGACCGATTTATCGCTGCGATCAGAAGATTTTGTTCAATATGTATGTAAATTGTAATAAAATGCAAAATATTTTAAATAATAACATTTACTTTGTAAAATAAATATAATTCTGGGTGGATTCTTAAATTTTATACGCTGCAGCAGTTATGGCATAAGTTTGTATTAAGTTTGTGCGAATGTACATAGCACCTAGAATAAGTTGAGATAGACCGATCTTTTATTATTTTTATTCAGGAAATGATTCTGAATCGATTTAAGCTTGTATGTCTGCCCATCGGTTTGTCCGTTTGCTATTTTTGTCGCAAATTTTGAAGATATTTTCGATGTAATTCGACAGATCAATATGTTTTAGACCTGCGACGCGCGCTATTGAAAATGGCTCGAATCGAAGCACTCTCTTCGACCAGTTCCTATATAGCACATTACTTTGAGTGGCCAAATAGTATGAACAATTGTATTCGCAAATATGAAGCGAAAACCACATATGTATACCCAATACGTATATGCACGAATAATGAGAGAAAGCGTAATTGATTTAAATATCCGAACCTTCTGTCTATTCGTCCGTCTGCGAAACAGTTTTAAATTTTCATTTTCTCATCGGGTTAACTTGAAAAGACAATAAGTGAATTAAGGATTCAAATGTTCGCCGATAATTATCAATCAAACCATATATAAATAAAGCGTAGTAGATACATATGGTTCTAGTTGTAGATGCAATTATCAATCAAGAGAAAAGATTCGGCCCAAACTGAATGTAAACACTTTCCTATATAAATTATGAAAAGAATTTTATAGCACCTAATTGCAAGCGACCACACCTAAGCTTCTCCTCACGTAACCTTACGCCAATATGATCTAATCCTTAATACGCAAAAGATGCACATATAAAACATACTTTTATTTTTGCTTATATATTATCAAAAATTCAATTATATAATACATATGCAGAGTTATGCTTATGTACAAATGCATACATTTATATGTAACATGACCACAATGTATACGGTAACCCAACCAACGACTATTAAAAATATAAACGAGAAAAATATACACTTGCTATCGAAATGGATGTACGTAGGTAATAGAATGAAGGATCTTTTAGTGCAATTTCTTGCTTGTAAATACGACTCGAGCTTAGCTCTTTCACATAGTAATATAAAATGTTTTATACTTCAATTGGATGTTGTCGCAGAGCCGTAAGACACAAACAAAAAAAAAACTCTTTTATACATTGCTCAAAAAAAGGATTTTTACATTTTTTCATATCTAAAGGCGAGCATGAAGCAAAAGCTTGTACACGTCTGTTGCTTTTTGTAAGTTTTTTGCGAATAAAAAGTGCGTTTAATAATATAAATAAACGGTCATGCATGTATATGCATATCCAAATTTGGGTTATATATATACTTATGTAAATCCAAAATTGAGAGCACAATGTACGGTTCGAATGCTTTTACTGTTCTTGTTGCTGCTGATAACGCCGAATTAATGTAAAACATGGTTTTAATGACTTTGAACAATTATTAAAAGCGTGGATATGGGATACGAGTGCATATGTGCTGCAGTTTTTTTCACATTTAATTTATTCATTGTTACCATTAAAGTCAATTTATGTAAATGTGTCATTTGATAAAATTTCTGCTTTTCTTTCTTTCTTTCTTTCTTTTTTTTTTTTCTCTTCAAGGGCCAGAAATGTCGATTTTTCAAAAAATTTTCATTTTTCCTTTCCCATTCATAAACTAACGTTTTTATCGCGCTTATCATAATGCAAACTTTTTTGCGGAATATTTGTTTTTATGCTTTTGCATATTTCCACTCGCTTGCTTCATTTTAATGAAAAATGAGACGAAAGCAATCAACATGATTTTAACTCTATATACACTTTATAGTCGTAGATGGCATTAAAATATATTGCAAGTTCACTTTCGATAGGATGGATGTCTTACCGAATGTATATCTTTCACAACAGATTGTATTAATTGCTTTCCTCGGCAATGCACACATATATGTGAATTGTTTTTTGAATAACTTCTGAGAAAGTAAATTAAACAACTTTCTTTTCGTTATATATCCATACTTTAAATAGTTATTAAGAGATAGTTCTGTATTATATTCTTAAAGAAGGCTAATTAATATCGAATTATTTTCCGGTTTTTCGGTACAAATCTTCTCGAAGAATGCCTAGTTCTAATATTTGGAAACCATCCTATTTGTAATCATATACTTCGGTTGGATAACTGGTGCCGTAAGCCATGCTTTCAATTGAAATATTATTATGCTAATAAACTACCTCTCTTTCTCATTCCTACTCTCTCACTTTCTCTCTTTCTCATTTTCTCTCTCTCTTTATTTTTCTGCCTTTCTTCACCACGATTTTCTCGATTTTTCTTTAAGTCAAAAACAAACTGACTGAAATTAACTATGGTTGGTTGTTCGCCATTAAAAATGAATTCGTTTAATTAAAACTCTGCCTCTCAATTGGTAGTTTTATCATCTATTCAACCTTAAGAAACATGAAACTTAAAACAAAATAAAATTCAAAATGTTTTCATTTCTAGTATACGCTACAAGTTTCTACCACTAATCCTTAAAAACAAGCCATACATTTTGAAAATTTTTATTACCAAGAATCGAATAAAGAAAGCGACACATATACATTTTATATTGCCGACACATAAAACTTCCATTAACCCCCTTTAAAAATATTAAGAAAATTTAATAACCAGCAACACATTTTCTTCATAAAAGTTCATAAACAAATTTTGTAGATAAAACGAAACACAAAAATATATTCCATGTCTTTTGTTTGCTCTCTTTTCCCGTTATATATCATAGGAGAATAACTGACGTACATCTGTAAAACTTATTGAATAAAGTTCTTCAAGTGTTAGAAATCGGATACGAAGACAAAAACGTTATTAAAACTTATATTAAACAAGATTTTTCGACTTGATTTTCAAACTCTCAGTTGAATTTGTTCCGAAAATTGAAAAATTTTTGATTTTATGCGAATAAAATAAACGGTCTCTTTTATTTGAGACATCTCTCTCTTAAGTTATATATATACACATAAATATATTAGATATTTAAAGCAAACAGATATTTTAAAGAAATTTCGGTTTCTCGGATTTATATATATAAAGCCTGAATGAATGAAGGGAACAAACATACGCAGAGACTTAAGCATGTGAGAACGATACCCCTCACCCCATGGCCACTAGCTCGCACTAATCAAGGGAAGCGTCTAGAGGTGTATTTTAGACTTTCATTAAATGTTTAAACTGTGCGGGACAAACACTACTTAATGCGTATACACGAAACCGCATTTAATCAGAGGGATATCTACGATAAATGTATCGTTTATATTTGCATTCTCATCGTGTAGAACGCATACACATAGTGATTATTAAGTTGCTCGCCTGGCTTTGCTGTGGGCTGGTTAGTCACCAACCAGCCAACAAACACCATAATAATACATACAAACAACTATATTGTTGTAATATAACAATAATATTAAACACCATAGAAATATAAATATATATAGGCCAAAAATGAGTAATTAAATCACAGATTAAAGTATTGTACTACGTATATACATACACACATATGAAGACCGAGAGGATGTCTTGATTTATGATGAAGTCAAGTTGTTTTTTTTTTTTCTTTTCACTTTTTAGCTTCACACAAAAATATTCTCTATCTTTTCATTAGCAGTGTTGCTCTCCATATATATACATATATATATACATATATATACATATACATATATATACATATATATACATATATATATTTTGTTTACTTTTTTGATAATACAGATGCGTTACTTTTGCCACTAGACCGCTTTGAATCGTTGTGAACTAATAGAAAGTCAAAGCTTAACTGAATAGTTTAGCTCCTTAACAGTGAAAGCTGAAGCTTTCTCTTATATACGAAATGCAACTTAACAAGGAAATAAAAAGCTAAACGTTTACTGCTGAAAAGCTTTTAATCAGGAGTCAAATAAAAAAAAAAGAGAGAGAAAAAAATGAAGAAGGATTTTTCAAAATAATTTTTTTTTCTCAAATTTATGAAATACATGAAAAAACATTCCTCAGGCATAGGTGATATTTCAACTGAAGGTATTCTACTTTCAAAAATTTTCACAATACAAAACACACACATACGAAAATTATAAAAATTATTTACATTTTCTGATGAATAAGTGAAGCAGAAAAAGAAATGAAACGAAATGAATTTACGGCACGTATGAGCGCTTGGCGAATAGCTTTGATTATTATTCATACGCAAGAAGTGTAAAGCGGAACCACACAGGCAGTCAGTCATTTTGCATGCAGTAAAGCAGCCGTGGTTTGATCTTTAAAGAAACAATATTTCAAAATCAATAAATTTTTAATCAGCTAAGAAGCATGAAAAAGATTTTTTTTAAATAATATTGAAGCTTTTAAAGGTAATATTTTTTGTTTAGGTTTCTCTTCGGGCAGAAATTAAGCTCTATTAAAAAAGCTTTTACTTCTCATACGCTATGTTTTTATTTTTCATAACAGTTACGTATCGGAATATGTTTCTTCATAATAACACACACACATTACTAGGGACTAAATTGTATTGACTTTATGCGTTGTTACCCGTAACGTTGCAAAGGAATTGAAATTCATCGACTTTCTACATGGCGGTACCTTATAAATTGAAAGAAGATTTTTTGCATTAAATTTACCATTTTGTACAAACTGATCAGGATGAACTACAAAGTTGACTCTCTCCTATAGATGTGTTACAATCAAATTTTTCTTCATATAGTGGACCTTTTCGCTAAACTTCGCTAACTTTTCATCATTTATTACTTACATATTGAACTTGCGAGTCGTATACGGTGTCCAATCGTTGACATAGACCCGATAATGATGTAGCAAAAAGTTTTCATTAAACACTTTTCTTTTTCAGCTTTCTATTTAAAGTTAAGTTTTATTAACGTTTGTCAATTAGTTTCCCATAATCAACATTTATGGCATTTAAAGTTTTTTGTTAAATCATTAAACAAATTGATTAAAATTTTCTTATTAATATAATTTTGACAGGATGACAGGAGAACTTGTTCGATTAATAAAAAGATCAAAACGGAAATGAGACCAAAAATGTTATAAAAATTCCTTGGTTTACTAAATGCTTTCAACTTTTATTGGAAGCAAACTTTCCGACGACTTTCGCAACGAAAAGATATATTGAGCAAAAAAATATAATCAATCGATTTCGAATATTATTTTGAATCGATTTCAGCTTTTCTATCCAACCTGCTCACTTATGTCTCTGCCTGTCTAATGCCTGTGCGCTTATTTTGTGATCAACTTACGTATGGCAACTTTTAAGACTTTCTAACGAAATACTTCTTGTTTCAAAACTTCTTGATATAAGTCGCTGAGTTGCCTAAGTTGTCGGGCAAAAATTTGAATCGAAATGAACTGCCTCCTAATTTCTCCTTCTTAAGCGCATATATGGCAACCTTTATATGTGCCTGCAAAGTCTAATTGTTAGTTATTTAATACGAAAGTAGGTGAAGAATAGAATAAAATTTTCGACAAAAAAATTAATTTTCACCACCGTCCCAAAGGTAAACGGCACCCAATAACAGGTCTCTTCGTTTGCATAGAGAAAAGTTGTATTTATTGGTATTTTATAAAGAAAATAAATCGAAAATTTTATTAAATAAAGCGACGTAGACCTTTTATTGATCGATAGTAAGAAACTAACGTGTGTGTTTTAATGTAAGCAAAAAACTATATAAAAACAAGAGCAATATTGACAAGTACAATCGTTCATATATGCACCAACGGACGGGATGGGTATTAAAAGGCTCTAGGGACACATAGAATCTCCGTTCGATAGGTTAGGATTTGGTTTATCCGCATATCCGATAAGGGGTAAGTTCACACAATTTCCGTACCAGGAGTGTCCATGAGCAAAGATATAAAGCCATTTCCACATATCAAGAACTAGCGTGCTCAGTTATGGCACATACACATGCCTCGTACGCCTCCATTCCTCTTATAGTGGTTGTCCTAAAATTTATTTAGATAACAGCTTTAAACACAAAAGAACACAGCCAGACTTACGATTACGTTGGTCAGATAACATTGGTACAACAATATGGTTACATAAAATTAAGTCTGATAGACACACATACACACGCTTGGTTACACCTAAAGTGGCTTACCAGCATAAGCCTGCAGAACCGACGTAGGGATACATACATTAGTTACATATAAAAAGTGGCACTCTCACCTGTTTTTCGCTAATACGTTAAATACACTTGAATAATAGAGGAGTTTTATCGCCCAATCGCCCATGGTATGCGTTTGATAGAGGATGGACTATAGTCGAACGAAGCTGTTGGACAATGGTAGCAGCGCTATTCATAAGTCTGTATCAGTTATGAAAATCTTGATCACTTCCATTTCGTAATTTAATTCAATAAATCGATCAATAAGTCCCGGGATAACATGATAAAAATATTTGGTCTACAAAATTTTATTTCATTCATCAACCAAAATTTTATTTCATACCTCAACAGCGATAGAAACAATCCAATGGTTCTTACAACTTTATGGCACTCGATGAATACAGTACGAAATAGCATAGAAGTTTGACATAAGAGATACCATTTATAATATGGATCGATTTCTAGGCTTATTGACCGATTTGTTTTTTTCGTACATATATCTAATGATAATCATCCCTGTCGTTGAAGCCACGAAGGTCTGAGCTGATTGATATTAACATCAAGAGCATGTCAGACGATGATAGAAAGGTTACTTCTAGCTTTATTTTGTGACGTTTGGCATGATTTATAAAACGTTTTGCGTTACCAAAATCGAAATTGCACAAGTAGAGACGTGAAGCTTAGGGAGAGATATGCAGAAAGCAATTATTATTTGAGTTCTTCAAAAAAGCTTGTCACCATGTTATTTTCCAACATATTAAGTAGGCCTAAAATCTGTGGTATTGTGAATTATTATAATATCAATCGCCATTGGAATACGTGGTATATTCGTTTTTACACGTTGTGTGCGTAATTTTTTCGCAACTTCTAACTTTATTAAATAATCTGTAAGTGAATGTATTTTTTTTCTTTTTAGTTCCTCATATATTTGCATGATTCTCGTCTCTGCTTATTATTTTTATTTTAGTTTTTATGTATGATTTATGCTAAAATAAAATATCATAGTTACTATTATAGAAGTTACGTCGTGTGCATTAAAAGTTTTATATAAAGAAAGTAAAATAATAAAAAGGAACTTTATTGTCGTCGGACAAAGTTGGTGGTGGAAAGTAAAATCTTTAAAGCAGGCCGAAACTAAATATAAACAAAAGTAAGTAAAGACATTATATACCGACCGTTAGGTAGCCCATACCACTTTGCCGAACGCAAGTCTTTATTTATTTTCCCCATAAAGTATTTTAAAGGTTGTGCCTTGTTTCCATGTTTAAGGCCATGTTTTCTTCTTTATTTGTAAAATGGGTGACCAATCATACGGAAGATGTTGTGTACACATGTAACACGGTCATTGTCGGAAAGAAGATAGGAAGTGGGCGCAGCCTAGGTGCGGCCTTGCGTGTATGCCCTTATCGATTGTACTCGGCACTCATTTCAGCTACGTGCAAGCGTAGTCGAAGCGCACTGAAATTTCAATCCGCGAACATCGACTTGGTAGTCACGCCTCTCGCCTACTCGACTATGAAATTTTTGTTGCACGAGAGAGAGCGGAAAAAGGAGCCTGACGTGATCCTAATTTAACAGCACTAATTGTCTCGCCAAAGATGGTTGTATTCTTCATCTATATTCACTATAAGGTATGAACAATTTGGTTTCACTTTTCGAGAGAAGCCTTATATGTGATACAGTCCAAAAAATAGGTCTATACAATCGAAATTGGATCCAATTAATATAATAGAAATATAATTAATTTAATTAGAGGGTCGGGTATTTTGGATCTGGCGGTGATCTGATAGAAACTGAAAACAAATACCTTGGGAATTACTGTAGTGGAGCAATTTTTGATATGAAATTTTAAAGATTACACTTTATGCATGGTTATGTAAAGATTTAGTTTTCGTAAGAACGTTCATACTACTCTACATCACAATACCGATGCATTAAGAGACTGTGTCAATAGTTACTTATCATACTAAGAGATTGTTACGTTTACGTAGAAAGGAACTCCTAAGCGTCACCATGCTTAGAACGCTTGACTACATGCGTTTAATTGAAAGCCTCGAAGTTGAGACTCGAAAATTATTTCTTCTGAATCAATTTTTTTTTTTTTTTCAGTAGTAACGTATAGTTAACATCTCTCTGTGCCATAATTGTTTCCCTAATTTCGTCCAGATTGCCTTCATCGATCTCAATTTTGTATGGACTGCTTTTAAGCATTCCATTGTAAATATTTTTTCGAATAAATTTTTATAACAATTACATAGAGTATGGAATTCTGTGAAATATCATCCGTAATACATACTATTCGTCACTCAAATACGGGTGGCGCGGCTTATTTAAAATTTTTGCCTCGGCAGTTCAAATGATATAGAAGTAGATTGAAAAGCTTTTCATATCAATTCGAATATACTACACTCAAACCCGCTTTTGTACGTTTATGTCCCGGATGCCGGTTCACCGCATAAAAAAATTCATTTTAATTGTGTGCGAGAAGCATTTTTTATGCGGTCCCTATTTACCGTACAAAAACATGTTTGAGTGT